AAACTCACACTTAGACGCTTTTGTCAGTAGGCGGTTCTCACTCAGTATCTTAAAAACTGCTTCGATGTCCTGTAAGTGCTGTGCTCTGTCGGGGCTGTAAATCAGTATGTCGTCAAGGTACACGATGACGCACTCATCTAAAAGTGGGCGGAAGGCTTCGTTCATGGTCATTTGAAAGGTGGCGGGGGCGTTGGTCAGTTCGAAGGGCATGACGGTGTATTCGAAGGATCCGTAGCGTGTTCGGAAGGCTGTCTTAGGGCAGTCGGGTGGGTTGACGCGAATTTGGTGGTAACCTCCTCGAAGGTCAATTTTCGAGAAAACCCGGGCTGTGCGCAGTTGGTCGATCAGTTCGTCGGCTCGCGGGATGGGGTAACGGGATTTGATGGTAACCCTGTTCAGTGCTTTGTAGTCTACGCACATGCGAAAACCCCCGTCTTTTTTCGGTGTGAACAGTATCGGTGCTGCGAAGGGCGACGAACTAGGGCGAATGAACTCCTTCTCGAGCAGGTAATCCAGCTGCTTCCTTAGTTCGTCCAGTTCAGGTTGGGTCAGTCGGAATTGTCGCTGTAGTGTCGGCTGTGCCCCGGGTTCTAGTTCTATCCTGTGGTCGTGCGGTCGCTGAGGTGGTAGTCCCGTCGGTAGGTCGTCCGGGAAGATGTCACTGTACTGCTTCAACCGTGCTGCCAGGTCACTCGGTACGTTGGCTAGCAATTTCTGTAAATCCCCTCCTTTGTCTGCTGCCTCGGCTTCCCGAATGTCGACCGCGTACACGGCAGCTCCTGCCGCTACGGTGCGTTTCATTGTGATCGCGTTGACACGTACCGACGAAGACTCTGGCGAGCCCCAGCGAGGTAAGGCGATATTGTTACCGTTCACCCGCACAGTGCAGTCACCCGTCGTCCAGTCGATTCGCGGATTGTGTCGTCGCAGCCAATCACGCCCCAGTAAAATATCGGTTCCGTCGAGGGTCGTTGCGAGCATTTCCTGGCTAAACGTGAAGTTACCCCCGCATCGAATCCGAACTCGGTCCACACGTTCCCGTATCGCCAGTGGCGTGCCGTCGACCAGTCTTGCGTCGATCTCAGGTAAACATCTGTCCAGTGGCAGTCGCAGTTTTCGTGCTCTGGTAGTGTTGATAAGGCTGTGGCTGGCCCCCCCCGTCTACCAATATTTTAACCAAGTCCGTCCCGATTTTCCCACTAAGCAGTATAGGGCTGTCTACCGTGGTACCCTCCTTATTCGGCCGGGTGTGGTCGATTGCGTGAACCGGCACAATCACTCGGTGAGGGTCGGTTGGGTCGGGCAAGCGGCGTGACCTGTCAGTAGAGGGCCCGTCTGCTACTGACTCCCAGCGTTTCCCTGCTGCTTGGTCTGTTTCTGGTGCTCAGCTTCCCCCTTTCCCTTAGCATTTTCCGGGCATTCGCTCTTACGGTGTCCCGGCCGGTTGCACGCAAAGCAGCGCCCTTTGAACGATGCGGCAGCGGCATTTGCGGTGACGGCACGTATCGTAGCGCCCTCGTTCGTCCCACGAGGCCGATGTCCCCAATTGCTGCTTCCGTAGGACCCCGGTCTCGGTCGGCGGAAGAAATCGAGCTTCTCCGCCATGGCGAGAATCTCCTGAAAATCGGTGACGCCGCGAAGCTGGATTTCCTGAGCGATGTCCTGCTTCAGGCAGCCGATGTAGCGGTCGATGCGTTCGCTCTCGTGCATATAACCCACTTGCTCACATAGCGCCAGAAACCCGCTCGTATAGTCTTGGACGGAACCGAGTTGGCGCCAAGTGCGGAGCCTCTGTCGCGCCGCGATCGAAGCCGCAATAGGCTCGAAACAAGCGCGCAGACCTGCGCACCACTCGTCCCACGTGCGATACTGGGGCACCTCCACGAAATACGACGGCGCCCAGGGTCCGGTTTGTCCTTCTCGTGTCGGTAGAGTCGCGTAGTCCACCGGCTTCGTGACGATGACACGCCACCAGTCCATGGCGGGTCCTCGCAGCAACAACACGGCGTAGCGAATCTTCGCCGTATCCTCCGAGACGTAGTTCGCGTCGAAGAAGACATTCAACGTGAAGAGCCACGCCTGAACGGTAGAGCCACCCCGCTGACTTGGATCGAAACATGGCGGACGCTGCGGCTTCAGTGGCATCGGCGACGGTAAGGCTGATTCGCCGGCCGGCACTGAAATCGTGACTCGAGGCTGATTCCTGGCCGCATTCGTCGCGTCGGGGTGTGTTGTGCTGTGGTCGTCGTCTCCGTCATGGCGGACGACGCCATCACTTGCCGCGCTCGCGGGTTGCCCTACACTTCCGTGTTGCGATGTCTGTGGTGCGGGCTGAATCGGAGTGCCAGATGCCTGGGATTGTGCTCGTGCGAGGTCATTTTGCAGGGAGGTACGTTCTGCCGTTAATGCCGCTATTTCTTCGGAGTTTTCGTGCAGTTGTCGCAGCAGCTCGTCCAGGCGGTCCTGCGTGAGGTTAGTGACGTCAAGATGCTCTGCCATTCCGAAGGGCGTCAGCTCGTCTTAGTCTAGGCGCAGTCGTGGCTGCACGCGTTTACGAGAGAACGCGATGAGAGCGGCTCCTAGGTGTTAAGGTGCGTGAGTCCCTTCGAGTGAAAAATCAAAAGTTGATTTCCTGGGGTGCGGAGATGCGCGGTTCGAAAAGGAAAGGGGCTCTGAATACCAAGTGTTACGGGTGCAATGAATCGAAGTAGCGAGAATTGCACTAAGGTGTCAAACGAGTACAAAATGTGAGCGAAGGCATGAACGAACATTTATACGCGAAACATGCAAACGGTAACGCGGTGCGTGCGAGCTAGCTAGTGCTATGCTGGAAGCGAGGCTCGGGCTAGTCCCGAAGCGTAGGCCGACACAGCCAGGCCAGCAGTGCGAGGTTTGGTGAAACAGTGCGCGCGAAGTCGGCGAAGCCCCGTTAGCAGTAACGGGCGAACAACGGCTGCTGCTGTACGCGATGTTGCAGGGCGCGCTAAGGAATATCGAGAAAATTCCTTACACGAGGTATCTTTGCACCCAAAAGGTCGCGTGTACAGGACAAAAACCAGAATATAGTCCCTAAATCTGTACAGTGTTACAAGGCGGGTCAACGAAATGATGAGAGGGTTCATATGTGATAACAAAGTTTTCCAGTGTGACTACCCGTGATAGAATTTTGTGCCTTTGAGTAACAGCGAGTGATACCCGTGTGATGGTTCGTGATAGATTTGGCGGAACATGTGACCGTTCATGATAGATTTGGCGGAACATGCGACTGCTCGTGATAACTACGAAATGTTTTGTGACGGCCAGAATAAAAACCCCAGATTTTAATTCGCCAAAAACCAGGAAGTTTGAATTCGTACCCTAGGCCAAACAGGCCAGGCTGGGCAACGACCTGGAATTCTGCAGCACCGCCACAAGAACCGGCTGCCGGCTCCTTGGGGTTTCCAACTTTGGCCCGGGCAGCCCGTGCTTACTGCTACGCGACAGGTGGGGCACAGCGGCCGTTCAAACAAACGTTCGCTGAAGTACCTGTGGTCGATCTTTCGAAAGAAATGTTTCCGTACGGCGACGGATTCCAACCGTTTGCACACGTGTCTTTTGAGGTGTGGCGTGCTGTACTGTACAAACAACACAACGGATGGATGATGTGCATGCAAGCCCAAGCCAGGTTCCATATACATGCATCAGCCAGCCAGGTTGCACCCATACCGACCGAACATACGAGAATCTCAGGACGTGTCTCATGTGAAGGGTCTGCTGGATCTGGTCCGCAAAAGAATCGATACGCCTGGTCCGGGGTTCTGGTCCGACGGACCCACTTGGCGGACCAGCGTTGGACCAGACACGGACTGGTCTGTCTAATGCCTCGCGCTTCGGGCTGCACAGTATTTGCAAGATGCAGAGTAGCAACGAATTTGAAATATAGTTACCCATTTTCTTCGTCTGCACAAAAATCTCACGCGAAACTTACAAAACAAGAAATTTCGCAAAAATAGATGTTTCACCACCTACTGTTTACGGACCAGGCGCGGACTGGTCTGGAGGGCCAAATAAATGGCACCGTATTAGTGCCATTCGAACGGTATAACGGGGTTACAAGCCCCGCATCCTGGTCCCGGTCCGCCCTGGTTCACCCGCTGGTTCTTGAGCTGGTCCGTCAGGTCCGAACCGGACCCACGTGGACTCAGACATCTGAGACACCCTCTCACTACCCCAGCCACAAAGAGGTGCAGGTCCTACCCTATCCCATCCCATAGGTTTCCACCGCCTTCTTTCCCTAGCAAAGTTCAGCACTCTCATGCAGGGCAAGGGTGTGAGCTGTTCATCTGGTTGCTGGCTTGTGCAAAAGCGTTGATCAAATCAACCTGGAAGACCCTAGTACAGCACAGTACCAGCAAACTGTGCTATGCTGGACCCTTATGAACTTGTGGGCAAACAGATCAGACTCCCGGTCCACCAACGTCCCACAACCACGACGCGCTCTCAACCTGCCCGGCTTTCATCCCTCGTAGTATGATAGTTGGAGTAGGGCAGTCGTAAAAGCGAGCTTAAGCAGTCAAGAGCGGACCGGACTCGCAGGTGGCGTTGCGGAGCGCTCCAGCCTCGCCGCCTGCCGCCCCACCGGCGGAGACTCGGAGCCTCCAGGGGACCATGGCGCGGCCGCGCGAGTGGCAGGAACAGCGCGCCGCGCTGACACTCGCGTGGTGCATCGCCGTTCTTGCCACGACTCCCCTCGCCGTTGTTCACTCCCAGCTGATCGAGGCCTCGCAAGGTGAGCGGCCCTCAGTTCGCAGCCATCATGGCGCTGCGGTGGCAATCGTCGTACACAAATCATGTCACGAAGGGCACCGTTTTTGGTCTAACAACCCCACTCCAAAACACACAGCACCACCGGAAACCCTTCCTCCATCAAATTTCCCTCCCCACCTCTCACTCCCACCGCCACTCCCCAAAATCATTCTCCCATTATTACCTCTCCGCATTCTCTCTCCACCAACTGGCAGTGGTATTCCTGCAGGATTGCCAGAGCATATGGGGTCAGACGTTGCCTGGGTGGAATGGTACCAGACTCAACTGCAAGGCTGCAACGGGCATCGACTGCGATAGGAACGGGATGATCACCCAGATGTGAGATTCGATCTACGATGACTGCCTGCCACAGTGTGAGACCTGTGCTGGGAATGGCTCTTCAGAGCCACGGTGCCAATGCAGTGACAGTCTAGTGCCCTCGGGTCACCACGTGGGTCCGGACTTGTCTAGCGCCACCTGCAGTGCAGAGCCACTCTTTCACTGCAAGCCCCTGTTGGCTGATGGAAAGAACGTGTGGCGCCATGTTTTGGGTGCAATTTATTTGCAGAAAATTCCAAGGCGGCCTTAGAAGAGGAGGGCGCCTTCCGAGCTCCATCTCCAACCTCCGCGAACTTACTGTCCTGTACGTCGAACGTCCCCGTGCCTTCTTGCAATGGTCAAATTGCATCCTGCGCGCAGGGTGGAGAGAAGGTACGAGTGGTGGCAATGGCGATGAGACAGAAGTGATAGTGTGGAGAGAACGCTTGAGGAGTAGATAGAAAAGAATTAAGGTCTAATGTTGGAGACAAGGTTCGAGGACTTGAAATGTGTGGAGAGAAGGTTTGAGGAGTGGAAATGGTGGAGAAGGAAGGACGTGGGAAGGGGAGAGGGGTGGAGGATGGAAGGTGAGCTGGGCGAGGGCAAGAGAGTGGTGAGTAAACTGTAGGAGGGAGAGGCGTCAGCTGTGGGAGGTGTGCAGTGCAGCATGTGAGGCCGAGTGGGGATGGGGAGTTGCGAGATGGGCAGCAGGTAGCATGGGAGCGTGATGAACTACGAAGATTCGAGCATGAGATGTGCGAGATAGGTGACAGATCTCTCCATCCATTAGAGTTAGCGCTGCCATCACTGTAAGGTATTGTTAAGCAGTTACGTTGCGATATTTGAAAATAAGCTCGTGTCTCACGTACGTACTCCCTCAGCTGTCCTTTGCTTGTCCCTATTCCTTCCTGTCATCTTCTACTATACTCCTTACTTTCCTCCTACCTTCGTCTCTCTCTCGTCCCACCTTGTCTCCGCCTCTCCCCATACTCACATTGTTCCTTTCCACTCTCATAGCACACCTTAGAGCGGGCGAATAAAACCCTGTGCCTTACTTCTGCCAACGTTGCCTCTCTGCGTCTGGTGTTCATTTCTCGATAATGACTGCCAATTTAGTTTCCCCGCCTGCCCCATGCCATGCGAACCCAAACCCTCTGCCTTATTATCCGCCACCCTAAACCATGTTATTCACTTTATCAGATCTATTCGTTCCGCTAAGCTCAGTGGCACGATTCCTTCCGAAGTCTACAGACTCACAAAACTGAGGCTCCTGTAAGGCCCCACGTTAGCGCTTATCTTTTCCCCTTGCCACATGCTTTCCCCCCGTTGTTCCTTTGTGCTAGTCTTTTCCAGGCCACTCCACTCAAATTCACCCCCATTTGTCTACTCTCATCTCCATTGCAACCATCTTGTCGTTTTCATAAGACTGGTGTGTGTACTTCGTGCTGATTGTGTGGAATGGACAGGAGTTATCCGTCAGATTTGACAAGTTTTAAGTTTCATTATGAGGGATCTAGTTCTCACAAATTATTCGCAAGACATATTAGGGGCCACTGGTCACCTCACCCTCCTGTTATGTTTTGTAACAATAGAAACATGCGATCTGGGTATGGACGTAGCAGGGTCGCACAAGGGGCGTGTACCAGGGCAGACCCCACAATTGACAGCAGAAGAGTAAAAAATGGCTGTCACAGTCTACATATGCACGTAGGTGTGCTGCATGTGCATGCCATCCTGGAGGTCGCATTGTCGCATGCATAGGCTCCTATATGCTGCTCGTTTCCATGCAACCCCTCGACCTCAGTGTGTATACCATATGCCCGTATGTGTTCACCTGTCACAGGGACCTTGCAGTGAATCGCTTCAGCGGCTCAATCCCAACTGCGGTCGGCAATCTTACCAACCTGTGTTACTTGTAAGGCCTCGTGCAAGGCCACTCCTTGGTTGGTTGTACTCTCCCTTGTTCGCCTCTCCTCTCCTCCCCTTCGCGTCCTCTTGATGCTAGTCCGCACCAATGCTCTCAATAGACCCTTCCTTTGTTTCATCCTCTTGCATCAGGTCCACTTACCACCACCACCCTCTTCTTTTCTGTATGTACGATGTGTGCTTTGTATATATAGTGCACATGCAATGATGAGATACTACCAGCCAGGAAGTGGCAAGCGAGTAAAACTTGCGTTCACGTGGTTGCCTAAATTCGCCGTGTTCCCTACCTGTCTCGTGACAGGGGTCACCTCGAACATAGGCCGAACCAGGGTCGGCCTGACCTGAATTTCGTCAGGCGACCAGTATGGAGGGTTGGGATCGGGCTGGTTTCATGTGGTGTCGTCCCATCTAGACTGGGCCAGAGCAGCTCATGTCTGGCCGGCCAACATCCGACCCGCTTAGGCTGTTAACTCTGTCATTTCACCAACCGTTGCATGCCGGGCAGGCAGACATATTACCCCCCCTCATGAGACGACGCCCCCACCCCCACCTTGCCACGAGCTGGCCACTGACCGTACCTGGTACACCTATCCACTGGTCGTTTCATGCAAGCTTCAGTCGAGCTTCCTATGTCTATCGCACGCCCTTTCACGTCTGTGGTTGCAGATCTTTCTTGCGCAATCAGCTAACTGGTTCGATCCCCGATGCCATCAACGATCTTTCCTACCTGCGATACCTGTACAGCCTCCTGCAAGCCCGTTACTTTGTTGTGCCCTTCTTTGTGCGCCTCCCCTTGATGCTAGTACGCACTCCATCGACTCCATTGGTCAATTTTCCACTTCATTCTCTTGTAAGGTCCATTTACCACCAGTGCATACTCTCGTTGCTCATCCTCCTCCTTTTGTGTTGATTTTTTCGTTGCAGGGCTCTCGATAACAATCAGCTCAATGGTTCGATTCCAGCTGTAATGAGCAATCTTGAGGGGCTCACAACATTGTAAGGCCTCGTGCAACGCCGTTTCTTGGTTGTATGCGGCTCTCCTTCATGTGTCTCTCCCCCATCATTTCTCCTCCTCTTAATGCTAGTCTGCTCTGCACCCATGCCCCCCTCCTTCTGAGCTTCTCGTGTCATACCAACTTATCACCACCCTCTCTGTCACTGTTTTCTGTAACCTGTGACCTGGGTGGTCATAGTGCACTTGCTCACGCTTACATATTGCAAACCAAGTCTGGTGGCATGACTCTCGCTTGTAGCCATGAGCAGTGGCGGCCCCATGGTCTGCTCATGACAAGCAGAGGGAGGAGGAGGCCATCTTATTAAGATACCCTTCCACTGGCTGGCTCGTCACCAGCTGGAAAACGCCCCTCTGCGGGCGTAATGGGGAGGCTCAAGGCCTGTAATGGCCTTAATGAAACCCCCCTAATTGACCTGCGTGATCCAAGTTGTGCTGGACTTTGAGGAGCCCTGTGATGTGCACGAGTTCATGAGTCTACAGTGGACTATGGCCAGCGTGGTTGGATTGTGTACGATATGCACACGAGCTGCTGACTTGACTGTCACCCAGCCCATGTGGTCAGCATGTGATTGGCATGTGGTTGGCTTGTGGTCGACTTGTGGTCGGCTTGGGTTGGATTGTGGTCGGCTTGTGGCTGGCTTGTCATGAGCCAAAAGTAAGAAACAAAAGAAGCCAGGCTCAACCTGACAGACGAGTCAGCTACTATGGCCGGCCACAGGCCTGGCAATACGCTCGTGTCTACTGTCTTGTCAAACCCCAAATGGACGGTTGATAACAACCGGCGATTCTATTCTGCTGGGACTTGCTTTTGGACATAATCATTCTGAATATATGGCCACTACTGAATATCTGGCCACTACAGTCGAGTGCTACATATGCAGATTCTTTCATAAGTTGCATGCATAAGGATATGTTCCCTCTATGCTGCCCACCTCCATGAACAAATGAGCTCCCCCCATCTATATCTACCTACCACGTGGCCGTTTGTATATGTCGTTGCAGATCTCTCTGGCGCAACCAACTGACTGGCTCAATTCCAGATGCTATCTACGACCTTTCAGTACTGCAAAACCTGTCTGTACAGCCCCCTGCAAGGCCTTTTCTTTATAGTGCTCTTCCTTCTGCGCCTCTCCTTTCAAACGCTTCTCCTCCCCTTGATGCCTGTGCTGTCTATGCCCATGTTCCCATTCCCATGCTTCTCCTCCACTTCAGTTTCATCCTTTTGTATTTACCCTACCACCATGCACATGCACATGTCTGTTCACTTATGCAGACTTCTTGATAGAAATCAACTCACAGCCTCAATTCCTGCTGCAATCAGCAACCTTAGAAGTCTCACAAAGCTGTAAAGTCCTGCAAGGCTGTGAGACCTCTTTTTTAGGTCCGCGTTATTTGAAAGTTGGAGCATATTTTTTTAGTAAATCTAGTATTGCTGGAGGAGCTCATATTGCTGGTCGAGTGGATATAGGATGAAGAATGTTGAAGTGGGTTTTTTGTTGGGATCCAATACAGGGGCGTGGCAGTTGATTTATCGCTTGGTCCTACGCTAGACACCCCGGACCACCGTTAAGTCGGGCCGGGCCAGCCTTCAGCCCAACCTGTGCTCATGCCTACCTTGAACTGGCCGATCTGGTACAAGAAATTGTACAACCTGGCCGACAGAAAGGAGTTGTGGATTTGTGGTCATTTGCGAGCTCCAGCTTAGTTTCATCCTTATATGGCCCGAATTGCCATCTTTGGAAACTGGGCCAGATAAAAACTAATGTGTAGTCCAGGCCAGATTGGTCAGTGAAGCTGCTGAACTGGTTCGGCCCGAGCTGCTGCAAGTTCCAAAGCTGGTTAAGCTTAAACCAGATTTGTCAGTTTGACTGTCCCTCTGGTTTGAGACATTCAACCCGAACTGGCGCAGGCTCGACTTGACCTTATTTCTAGCTGTTTCATCTACAGCAAAGCGAGTCTGACATGCCCCTCTCCTGGTGAACCCGTTTTGCTGGTTGAGAACGGCGAGTGGTACTATTTTGTTCATGTAGACTTGCTCACTTGCAGCAGCTTCCGCATTACCCGGCAGCCAAGTCGGGTCGACGCGCTCTTCACCAGACTGCTGACCAGCAGCTTGCTGCTGCGACTGTGCCTGCTGCCATAATCGCTCCCCCGCTGCCCGCCTCCGTGCAATGCCCTCTTCGTGGGCTGCAGCTTCTGCATCTGGGTAGAGCTGCCCCAACTAGAAACCCTTTCCAAAGGATGGGATTCCGAAGCCAATGAGGGAGGCTCCAGGGATTGCCCTGCTGCTGGCCGGATCACTGTCCGTTTCTGGCATGTTACTTGTCCTGAAAACGCGCCCCCACTTAAGCGTCCGCACCTGTGCTCGCGGCCGCCCCTACACTATGCACGCGGCGCCCCTCAATCAGTACGAAATGGCACTAGGTTATGTGCTCGGCGGACATATGGACGGTGGCTATTCTAAGTCATGGCGTGCAGCCTGTAAGGTGAAGTTCGAGCTAGTAAAAAGCGAAATCGTGACGTACAATATCCCACCCGTGCGATCTCCTTAAACTGCAGAATAATGCCTTCGTAGTAGCTAGAAATGTCAGATAACACATGCTTTCGTAGGCTGCAAACTAATAATAACTTAGCTTAAATGACATTAGTGGCTGAACTTAGGCTACTTGGCGCGTGGGTAAGTTTTGATGTCGAGGGTGAAAATTCCCCTTGACATCGAATTTGTTTAGGGTTTCGTACCCAGCAGGGGTACCCAGCAGAGTCGAAACCGGGTTCGGCCAAAAGCCCGACCCGACTTCCCCTACAGTGACCCGAAGTCGGGTCGGGACAAGCCTGGCCCGAAACCCGGCCTGACTCGGCCCGAGTTCCATGCTCGGGTCAGGTTTTAGCTTGGATCGGGTCGGGCCAAACCGCGCGGGGCACATTCATGAAATCCCTGACCCAACCCACACTAAAACACGGGTCGGGTCGGGCCGGCCCGACCCGAGCGGGCCACATGCTCATGCCTAGTTGACATCGTAGGTCGCCCACAGTTGAATGCTACATACATGTGAAGATGGTTTTGGATGTTTGATGCGCAAGCTCCTATTATGCTGCTCTTTTTCACACAACATAAAGCCCGTTTATGTTTATCATTGCAGATCCCTCTCGCGCAATCAGCTGACAGGCTCAATCCCTAATGAACTCTACGAGCTGACGAGCCTACGAAGGCTGTATGTCTTCCTGCAAAGCTCTATTTCATGCTCTCCCTTGTGCATATCTTCTCTCCACGTAAACGGGCATGTGATGCTAGCCCACACCCATGTTCTCCATCGATCTCTCATCCATTCCAAAGTACTGACCTGGTCCCAGCCGTTTTGGGTTGGGCTTAGACCACCTGACCAGCTGGATTCAGGTCTGGTTGAACTGTGAGCTATTTAGACTGGTTCGGTCCGAACCAAACCAGCCGGTTCGAGTATGCCTGCCGGTTCGACCTGGTTAGTTCGACCTTACCGGTGAAAGTTTGGGTTTCTTATTCCTGCAGTGTGCCTCCGTGCTCTTCGTAATATGGTTGGCATAGCAATGTGGTTGGCCTTTCTCTGCTGTTTTATTATCGTCCATGAAACTTTGTGTCTCCCTTAATGTACTGCATATGTGCTTCTTGCTTATAATTCTCTTCACAGATATCTCACGTTGAATAAGCTCACTGGCACAATCTCTTCTGCGATCAGCAACCTTGCAGAACTGGTGGAGCTGTAAGTCCCCTCTGGCCCTTTGTCTTTTCCTTCCTCTCCACTCTTTCTCATTCTAATTATCCCCACCACACCCCATTCCAACCCCATCCAATATAATGCTCCCGTATTTAAAGAACTTGCGCCCACCTCCTTTATCACAGTGACCTGTTGGTAGGGTACACGGGAGTGGTTTGGATAGGATTAACTAAACTGTTATCTTGACACCCAAGAAAAAATGTTTGGATTGCGGGCGTTTTTGTGAGTCTCACCTTGTTACTGGGGGGCTCTGGTGGTTCCTGTTTGTGCACAGCAAACGGGCAGACCTCACAGGCAGACCTCACAGCAGCCATCAGAAGAGAGTGAAAACGAGGAGCACAGTAGATGAAATCGATGACAATCCACCAGATCCGTGACAATCTTGTCTGGTGTTCCATAACAGCACTTGCCGTCAAGTCAGTGAGCTGGCCAGCAGCGCGTCGGTCAGCTCGTCAACTTGTTGCATGCAAGCTGGTGAGCCGACGCCGGCCCGTCTGGACTTGGGACGATTCAGCTGCACTGAACCCCCGAATTGCTTCGTCCGTTATTGTTTTGACAAGTCGAGCTGACGAGCCAAGCCGCCAGCTCAATTTTGTGCTCCTGCCTCCATTCCATCCAACACAGCATGAGGTGCTGAGGGACATGGGATGGGATGACCCTGGCCATGCCCAACTGTTCATTTTTCATTGCAATCGTTTCGTCTGCAGGGCTTCAGAAGCATTGTTCACCCTGGCCTGCTGAACGTGTTTGCATGTGGGTTAATCCCTGACATCTTCTTTTGTGGCACTGCATGGCAGCTTTTTGGATCAAAACGAGCTGGACGGCAGCCTGCCAGCAACGATTACTGCACTTGCATCCCTGGATCAGCTGTAAGGCGTGCGAACCCCAAGCCTCCCACCTTATCCATCCTTCCTTTGTATCTTATTCCTTTTCCATTCCAATGGCAACCAATGCTCGTGTAACGTGCTTTGAGTTCCCTTCGCACAGTGATTCTTCTTCAGCAAGTGGCAACCATTGCGTATGTGCACGTACATGTGCTGCATGTACGTAGGTGTGCTGGCTGCATTTCATGTACCTGCGCTGGCTGCATTGCATGTACCTGCGCTGGCTGCATTGCATGTACCTGCGCTGGCTGCATTGCATGAACCTGCGCTGGCTGCATTGCATGTACCTGCGCTGGCTGCATTGCATGTACCTGCGCTGGCTGCATTGCATGTACCTGCGCTGGCTGCATTGCATGTACCTGCGCTGGCTGCATTGCATGTACCTGCGCTGGGTGCATTGCATGTACCTGCGCTGGCTGCATTGCATGTACCTGCGCTGGCTGCATTGCATGTACCTGCGCTGGCTGCATTGCATGTACCTGCGCTGGCTGCATTGCATGTACCTGCGCTGGCTGCATCGTATGTACCTGCGCTGGCTGCATTGCATGTACCTGCGCTGGCTGCATTGCATGTACCTGCGCTGGCTGCATTGCATGTACCTGCGCTGGCTGCATTGCATGTACCTGCGCTGGCTGCATTGCATGTACTTGCGCTGGCTGCATTGCATGTACCTGCGCTGGCTGCATTGCATGTACCTGCGCTGGCTGCATGTACCATTGTGCAGAACCCTTGCCGTGAACAGCCTCACAGGAACGATCCCTTTATCAATCAGCAACCTTTTCGCTCTTCGATATTTGTGAGTTGTTGTGGCAGCGGTGAGATGCCTTCTGCAGGCGCATGTTCCCATCCCACATGCCGCCTTCATGCCATCACATCACCCCTCCATCTACATCTATGCAGCTTCCATGACAGTCTTCGTTTTTTTAACAGCATGGGCCCACCACAGATGTGTTGATCACGTTTCCAACATCCCACAGTGCACAGAATAGAACCTCGGTCCGGTTTGTGTCGAGTGAATCTGAAACCTGCTGAAAGAGTGACCAGTTCAAAACAAACCGGTTCTGTTTGACATCGAACTGTTTTGGTTCGAACCTTCAAAATATAAAAAAAAACGAACCGCTTCGGTTCGGATTTTGTTCATGGTTTTCGCACAAATCCTTATGGTCTTCGTTTCAATGCCGCGAACATTCTTGCTTTGCAGCAAGGATGATCTTACTTATTGAACCTTCTTGCTTGAGAATGCTGCAACTTGCAAAAAAAATGTACTGCGCTTTCAACGCCGCACGAACCCTTGATTTGCAGCATTTCATTTTATCTCGAAGCTTCTCTGAAACAATTGTCTCTTTGCGTGTACAGGGAGCTGGAGAAAAATCGCTTTAGCGGAACGATACCTCATACAATTGGCAGGCTGGGAAATTTGACCTTCCTGTAAGTTGACACACCTTCCCATCCCACTAGAATTAGAACAGCCGTAACAAGGCTGCAAGAAACATGCCTGAGCACCTGAAGAGTAGTCAATCTATAGGAGGGAAGAATCAGCTGGCTGGACCCCGTTCAACCGTACGTAAGTATGGCCGCTGGGTCATGCGGGTCATCGTAGAACAACGTTGCAGCTCGTCAACCCACGGTTAGTAATTCCAGGTTGCTCAGCTCTCCCATGCGTCGCATTCATGCACGCGCATGGCGAGCCACGCAAGCCACGTGGGCTCTAGTCAAAAGCAATATTCTGTGGCTTGGCTCGTTTCAAACGCTAGCCAAGTCGCGGCTCAGACTCTTCCTGAGTCCAGCCATGCATCCCTCTTGACACTCGCCCTTCTTCATTCACGCCCATCAGGTCACTGGCCTACAACCAGGTCTATGGAAGTTTACCTGCCAGTCTCAACAATCTGACAGGACTGCAGACCCTGTACGATGCACCACTGGGGTTTGCAAAACACTGTTGTCGTACTGTCATGACGCTCTCACATCCGCACCGCACTTCCACCCTTGCTCCTACTTTCGTTTTTCTCTCACCCTTGCTATACTCTTCCACATGCTTGTCCACTCTGCACTCTCAATCACCACACCACCCTGTATCTGACTGAGGTAGAGCGATTCAGAACGGTGGCAGCTCATGGTAGCATCGTGCAGGCAGCTGCTTGTGCCAGCCAGCCATTCCATGCGCTTACAACTTGAATAATGCTTTTCTTTCTTTGTTCATATTGCCATCAAGAGATGCTTCAAGATATAGGCAGTTCAATGCAACCAACGATTCCGACTGCTTCCATCTCCCCTCCTGCTCCACTTCCCACAGCCTCTCTTTCGTCTCCCCTGCACCTCTCGTCTTCGTCCTGCTCTCTCAAACGGTCTTTCCTCCTGCACCCGCATTCCTTTCTGCTCGAAGCCAAGTTCCGCCCATCACCTCGTATCAATCACATGTATCCAGTTGTTTCTTACACCCGTGTGATATCCCCTGCCTTTGATTGCTACCCCACCCCATCGTGCACACCCTTTACTTCTCTCCCTCCCACGTGCAGTGATCTCTCTCACAACTACATCACAGGGCCCCTTGTAACTCTCCCACCTATCGAAGCAGATCTGTCCAGCAACTACCTGTCGGGGCTTGTGCCCGGACCAGACTGCCTTCGGCACAGCATCACCGCCAACTGCTTTGCGCAGAACAAAGCCTGCCGCCCTCCCCTGCAGCGGCCCCCAGCACAGTGCACGGCGTTCTGTGGCATCTCCCCGACCACTGCTGCCTGTGGCGGTCGTGGCTTGTGCTACCCAGACGGGGCCAGCTTGGTGCCAACATGCTTTTGTGGTGGGGGATTTGTTCAGCTTGGACGAAGTGACTGTGTTCCTCCAGGTAATAAGTACCCCTTTTTTTCCATAATAGAGTTTACTATAATACCAAAACTTAGTGCGGCTCGGCCGTATCTACTTCCAGCACAACGTTTTGCACAGTTTCGACCATGTATGACGACCATCAATCTCCTTGTTCCCCAGTTTCTGTGCGGTCCGAGTACCTGCCTGACTCGACTCTGTTTGAGTTCAACTGTTTCTCTCGTCCACATTAAACGGACGTCACACTCGTTGTCTTCTTCATACCAAGACTGTCTGGCACCACACATCGATCCCATGTACACAAACATATACATGGGCAAATGACGAGTCGAATTTCACTCGACTCGTTTGACAAGGCTCGAGTGGTTCTTGTTTCGAGTTTTCTAACCACCAATGCTTCATCACTCCCTCCGTTCCCCATGTTCTGCTGCACCTTCCTCGCTACTCCCCAGGGCCCCCAATGAACATTCTCCCGCCATTCACGGTCCTCACCAAGGGCACGCAGCAGGAGACCTTGGGAAGGTTCTTGGCGAAGCCAGTGACCCTGTTTCTGTACCCGCCTGGTGTGACCTCGGGATGCGGCGTGGAGTTGCCCTTCAGTGTCAACTTCACCTTTGCTCTCATGCCGCAGTCTGGTACAGCAGGATCAAACGGCTTTGCACTTGTCATCGCAGCAAAGCCCAAGGCGGGGAAGCCTGGTGGTGTGGGGTACAGTGGATTGGGGTCTCAGAGCATGGCCGTGGTATTCGACACGCTACAGGATAATGCGGGAGAGCAGCACGTTGGGCTGAGCATCAACGGCACAGAAGAACCCTTGGTCAAGGAGGTGTCACCATTCACTCTGACAGACGGCGACTCATACAAGGTGTGGGTGGACTATGAGCCTGGGGATCCCGGCACCATTCAAGTGTTCCTGGCGGATTCAAAGACGAAGCCAGAGGCGCCGCTGCTGCTGGGGAGGGTGTCGCTGTGTGCAGTGCTGCAGCCTGGAGTGAAGCAGCCAGCGTTCTCGTTTGGATTCGTGGCGTCCACCACTGTGAAGCCCTTCCAGCTGCAAGGCATTACCTCCTCTGCTGTGCAAACAGGCAAGCATATGTCTGTCCGGTGGAGTGATTAATGGGGATGATGGCCAAGAAAAGGTGGGGGTGGTGTGGTAGTGGTGTTCTGGTGATTCTGATGGCAGTGGTTGAACATTGAACAATACAGGCAGGGTAACTTCATGGACCTTGGCCACTGCCACAATCTACTGGGCTGGTGTGCTGTCTTTCTGGGCAATGCTGCTCTTGTTGCCGCGCATGGCTAGGGCGGACTGGTGATGGTTAGTGAGCGTGATCCTGCCATTGTGACCTGTATGAGATGTGATTGAAGAATCAACTAAAACCTAATGGCTGTCTTTCTGGCTGCTATGCGTCTCCTTCCTCTTGTGTATCTCTCTGCAGGCATTCCTAAACCCAAGGTAGTCCAGATGAAAGATCAAGGTGAGCTCCTCGTGATTTCACGGCCGTAAGTTGAAATGGCATTACGTGGCCTGGCACTACCAGACTGACTAAGTAGTCCTAAGGGTGACTTTGGCACCACAGTCTGGTTGCCTGGCATCGACAAGTTCTCAAGTCTTTCATTCTGAAAATACGGAATTCCCAAACATGGTCTGGACCACCAGATGTTACTGGAGTGTTCCACATGAGTCCAAACTTGGACTTACCACGCCACGCCATCGTTGTCCGATGTTAGTGAGCAAGCAACATGCAGAACCACCATCGCATGATCCTATTTAGCAACCACTGTTTTGTTCGCTTGGGGAGCGTGAGAGGGGCTGTGGGATGCAAGAGTAACCTCGATGGTATCTGCCACCTCGGCTGCGTCCACCTCCATTGCAGCGTTGGTCTATTTGTGGCAGTGTTTGCCTGCTTTGTGTACTAGACACCGTGCTCGCTTTTAATGGCACCATGTTGCTCGCTCGCTGCCTGCTTTGATTATTAGACAGATCCATAGCTGGATTTTCTCGTGAGACCTCTCAAAAGTTGCTCGCTGCCCGCTTTGACTTTTAGACAGATCCATGGCTGACTTCTTGAGGAGTTGGAGGTCAGAGACTCCAAAGGATTCCAGATCGCCATGTGTGGAGGCCCCCTCATCGAACTTCTTGGAGGCCCCCTCATGTGTGGCCCAGCTGGTGCCGTGACATTGCAAATGCAGTCCATTCCCTGCCTCTGTCAACTATTCCCCGTCATCATTCCCCTTTCTGTCCACCCCTTCCCGCCCCTCACAGCCCTCGGCCTCTCATTGTCAGAGGCCACATTTGCACTGTCTCGAGGCAGTCCGTTTTCACGCTACGTGAGTTCGGATTTCGAGCTCTCGGCCACCAAGAAGGACGCGTGGAGGCTTCGTGACTTCCACACGTGGGACTCGGTGTCCTTCCTCGGCTGGCCTGTCAAGAACCAGGAAGGCTGCAGTAAGTAGAAAACAGGATTGCGAGTTTCCAGGTTAGATTCTTGCACACCTTTTCTATTCTGCTATACTCCCCCCCCTTCCTGTCATTCAGGTAAGAACGAGTAGATAATCGCCTCTTTTTTTTTTTTTTTGTCCTCTCCACACTCCTCCTCAGATGCGTGCTGGGCGTATGCGGTGGTGGCGAGTGTGGAGGCGGCATACGGCATTGCAAAGCAGCAGAGCGCTCCCCTGCTGGCAGTGGAGGCGCTCTTTGCGCTCATGGGGCTCTCCGACTCCGACAAGTGCTCCGCTGGTGGCTCCCCCACCCACGCCTTTGAGACGCTCGTGGCCCTTGATGCCTCCAGTGGACTCACAGGGGCCAGCGACCCGGTAGGGCAAACAGAATATGCCGTGAGATACAGGATTGGGAGCAGTAATGCCTTAGAAGCATCTCACTTCGGAAACTAGGCAGTTATTTCCAGAGCAGCAGAACTTAGTGGTTTGTCAGTGTTTTTGCCTGTGCTAAGGTGGAAATGTTTTCTTTATTTTGTCCTTTACTCTTGATTCTTTGCTCTTTCTGAGCTCCCCTTCCCCCTTCTCCAATACCCCACGCCCCAACGCCTCTATTTTTCCTTCCTACATGATGCTTGTGGTCCCAGGCGACAACGTATCCGGTGCAGTCGTTTGAGCGAGCGCAGTTCAAGGGGTATGTGGGGCTCATGATGGCAGTGCAGAACCAGCCAGTGGTGGTTCACATCCAGGCGTCTGCTGCCACGTTCATGCTGTATGACGGGGTGAGTGATTCACTGCAGCCCTCACTAAGCATAATGTCGTGCTGTCACCTTGTGAATGGTCAACACAGGGCTGGCACAAGTAGAGAACTGCCAACATGTTGGATCAAATAACAGATATTCAGGATGCTGTTGTATAAACCTATGATATTCTTCTATACCAGCTTCATACATGACGAAAGTTCTTGCACTCCCCTGCTCTTTTCATGGACGATTTTCCCTCATCTCACTTTCAGACATATAAATACCAGGATCCTGGTTGCTACACGGGCAGTCTCAACCATGTTGTACTCGTTATTGGGTACTTCATTACAAGAAATGATGGCAGCCAGAACCGCATTGCTCCACCGTTTTGGATCATCCGTAACTCGTGGGGAGAGGATTGGGGCGACAAGGGTCACATGCGCATGGACATTCAGGGAGGGGATGGCGTGTGTGGCATCAACGTGCTGCCTGGCATCTACCCCATTGTCAAGAGTGAGGCACCGAACCCAAAGTTATCAAGGTGATGAATGGAAGTGAGAAATATAAGGCAGATTATAAGCTTGCTCGAAGAACTAGAGAGCATATGTAGCAAGGTGAGAAGGAAGAGAATCTGGAGAGGAAGGGCAAACTTAAGCAAATGTGATATGTAGCAAGGTGTCGTGAAGGCCACCGGAAGTGTGGCCCCATGACCAATGGTCACAAATGTGATTGGGTTGGGGTAAGCAATACACAAATTTAAGGCGCGTTAGAGTATATGGTAGCATGCTAGGCTTTTGTGACTGAGCACCAAATGTGGCGTACAATCGAGTTGGGCATGTACCCCAATTCGGGTGTACATATGTGTTGGGTGCCAATCCACCCTTTTGTGGTGGAGCTTTCAACACAAGCAATGTGGTGATTGGTGGTCCCTCCACATTTGTCCCAACCTTGTGATTGGGTCACCCAAACACATTGTGGAACCAATTGTGATTAACCATTCCAACCCCAATATGCCCCCAACCACCTCCTTCCCTTCCATCTCGTTCTCCATCCTATGTATACCCCTTGATAAGATCACTTTCTTGCTTTCTCATAACGTGATTATGTTCATTCACCGTTGTACAACCATGTAGAGACGAGCAAAAATTGAACACGAAATGGGCCGGGTCGAACTCGCCTCCAGATCGAATTGAACCGGTTTATGTGGAGTCTAGGTTCAAGGTTCGACCCTTGTACTCGAATCTTCAGTCATTGGGCTCGACATGGGGGAATCACGCAGTTTAATGGTTTAGGTTCGGTACAATACGACTCGGAACACCTAGTTAAACCGAACCGAACCAGTTCGACCCTAACCAGTGCAGATTCGAGTCAGAAGTTTTTAACAGAAAGAAGTTTGGTCTGAGTATACACGAACCAGTTCAGCTGACCAAACTTCAGTTTGGTGTTTGCTCATGTCTACAAACAGCTGCAATTGTGGTACCATCAATCCACAACTGTTTGTGCTTAGGGGCTCTGCGACAATGGTCCTGTTGGCACCCCAACACAAGTGTGTACCCAAGAACGTATGCATTCAACAAGAGTACACCCACACATGTACACTACTAAGCTAACAATCTTCAAGATATTCTAGGCATTGGACGATGGCTCTGCAGGTGTGCATTGACTGTACTTGGATTGACCTATTCGCTCCGTAAACGGCTGCGCGTCTGCACTTTGCCTGTTTGAAAGGCCACGGGCCGTCTCTTTCTAGCAGCGAGGCGTGGTCAAAGGTGTGACCCGGCCACTTTGAGCGAACCAGCAGCACTCCTTAGTCAAGTGTACGCATGGACATAATAATGAACCCCGGTTGCAACACACGACAACTGTGGTCAAACATTTGCTCATACATGTGCCGACCACTGGGTAATCTCTTTCATCCTCATTGTAATTACACGTGTTTCATGTGTACCCTCTCCTCTATGCCACTTGCCAGTTCCAGGGGACCCCTGCGGTCAAAGCAGCTACCAGGGAGATCGACCGCAGCCCGTCATGAACCCGTGCGGCCGGTTTCAGTGCAGCGGGACTGCAGAGAGCACCAATAACTGCACCTGCAACATCCCTACCGCTATTGTGCAGCCTTTTGTACAGATCGAGAATGGAAATGGCTTCAACACATGTGCATATCGTACGTTCAGTGGCAAGTGAAACAATGGTTTCGCAGCACTGATTCCACACTCAATTATGACAAACATTTAATGGCTTCCACACTCTCACTCAGTCTTTAAAAGTATGCGATGAGTAGCACAGGCAGAAGGCATGGAGTCACGACCACCAGGTGAGTCTCAGGCCATCTCACCATAGGAAAACGGTGAGCGGAGCTGATTGAGCACTGCCCAATGTCGCTGATGGTTTCTTGTCACCACCTAGGACGTGTTCATTATGCGGTTGACCTGGTTCCTTGACTATTTTTTCAGATTCCCCCTTCCCTTCATTTCCGCCCTCTCTCCCCATGTTTTCACACTCTTCACGGCTATGTCTCGCTTGTATCCTAATTTCTGCTCGTTTTTCCGGGTACCTTCACTCTCTTCTTCCTGTCTCTGCCTTCTCTTACCCCTGTTTGGCACCAATCCCCATTATCTGCACCATCCACCACCCCCGGAACACGTGTGGCAGTGGACGTGTGTGGGTCATACTTCAAGAACCCCTGCTACGTGGGAGCATGCATCAACGATGGCAAGGGCGCCTACTCCTGCATCTGCCCTCCCAACCACGTGGAAAGCAAAACGCTTTACGGCTTCCCAACCTGCGATCCAGGTGATGCTACGCCAGCGGAAGCACTTGGCTGTAACTATGCCTGTTGGTCTTGTTCGAAATTGCTTGCACAGTGTGGTTGTGTTGTGCCATGATGAACTTGCAGAAATGCATGGTCTTCACATTAGCTCTACTGTAGCCCAAGTAGGATATCTTCTCCTATTTCTCTCAACTTCCTTGAACCTTTCAATGAACTCTCTCTCCCTTTCCTTGCCTCTGTCTCACTCCCCGTTCTGCCTGCAGCTAATACCACGGCCACCACAATGACAGTCAGTGGAGACAACTGGTGGTGCTCGGATGTTCATCCACTTGTTGGCCTCTCGCTGACTGACTTCACCGACCAAAACATAGTGGGTGACGAGAGGGTGAAAGTTACGAACCTTCATCTGACATTTGGGTTACACTTCTCAAATCACTTTGTTTTCATATCATTTCACACATTTGATCCCGCTTCGGTTAATTTGATGAGACATCCTTTCACCCTTTCACCCTTCCATCATTCTCGCTTCAACTTGGTGCGAACCTCTGATTCATGCGTGCGTTTCTCAATGCAGGGCATTGATTGCAGCCAGCCATTGCCCAAGGGCAGTGTTCTTCAGCTGGATGGTACTCCCGCCACACCCTGCACTGCCTTCTTCTACACCCTCACTGTGAGACCTGCTGCTTTCTTGACTACAACACAGTATGCACTCAACCAACGCACCTAGTCAACTCAGCACATTGCAACATTGTCGATGCTAGTGAGCAAGCAGCGAGCAAGAAGCATCCCTATCCCTACCTCTTTCCAAACTTCCAGGGGGACACCTGTGCATCTATCAGCGCAGCGCTCAACTTCACTGAAGCTGATCTCGCCACACTCAACCCCGGTCTTGACTGCTCCAAGCCCATCAAAGCGGGCCGCTCCGTGTGCCTCGAGCGCAGTGCTGCCTTCGCCTTCACCGTTGCCGAGTGTGTCAGATACGGCATGCTCACACCTCAGGACACGTGCGAGCAGCTGCTTCAAAGAATTGGCAAGAGCATGTCCTCGTCGGAAGAGGACTCGGATGGCACTACACAAGGGGGTGCCAGTGAGAACCCATGGGCTGCGCTGTACCGCAACAATCCCGGCCTCACTTGCTCCAACACCATCCCTTCCTCGGCCTACGCGACGGGAAGCAAGATTGGCGTACAGGTGAGGGCTGTGAGTAGGAGGAGATGGTGTGGGGGGGAGGAGCTCGAGGTGGGTGTTGGCAAGGGGAATGAATGAGGTAGAGCAAGAGCTGGCTGCAAGATCTTTTGTGGCATTCGAAAGACAATGAGAACCAGTGGAGTATGCTTGATGCCATATCCATGCGATTTTTCAGCAAGGGTGCGTGTGCCTTGTCGCCCTCGCACTGTCACGTTGGTTGTCTCCGACAAACTAACGCTTCATGCACTTTCTTGACATGTATCTTGCAATTCCAGATCTGCCTCGGTGCGGAATATTGGTCATTCCAGTTGGGCATGTGCACCAAGGGGAGGGCCAAGCGAGTAGCAAGAACATTGACATGTTCAGGTGCTTACCGCTTCTATGGTGGAGGAGCTGCTGGTAGTGCGGCGTATACAGACTATAATGGTAAAGCTTGCGCTGGAACAGTAGGAGGAAAGACTATTTGTGTACCATAAAATGATCTATCATTGCAGGCCCTCAGATATCAGCGTAAAACACGCTGATTACGCTGATTTTGTAGCTCTGATTTCCGTTTTCCCTGAAAAATCAGTATATGCCTCATTTTTGCACTGTAATCTCAGTATTTGCAATTTTGCCACACTGACCATTTTGCGTGTTTCAGAACAAGTAACACTGACGAATCAGTATACTTCAGCGAGTCACACTGAAACGGACTTGACCGCCCGGGGGGGGGGGGGGGCGACGCGTTTACAGACTGTACCTTCCCACGAAACCCCACCACACCCACACACTTGGAATCTTTTCACATGCGCTGTACTTACAGCATGTGCGTGCCGAACCGTTTTGCCTCGCTGGAAGCCATCACACCAGAATACGATGAACCTAGTTCAACAACTGCCCAATTAGAACACAGACAGCACACCACTGCTGGCACGGTCCACACCAACACGCCATAAAATATGGCAGTGGGGTGGGTGGGGGTGTTGTCATCTTGCCTGGAAAGACGGAAACCCAGGACCACGATCCCTCGCCATGGCGGCTCGGGAGAGGGGGTACCCCCATCTGCTCCCTCATTCTGTTCCTGCACTCGTCGTGAACCCCTGCAGGAAGTGACGTTCGAGCTCAACCTGGCAGTGGCTTCCCTCTCAAGCTCGGCACGCTCAGCACAGCTGAGCAGCCATGGCGGATCCAACGCCCGCAGGTGACAACCCTGAATCCGTCCCAGCCACGAAGCCAGCCGCCCTTACTGGCCTAGACTTCTTACGACGAGCTTCAGCTGCTCCCGTGTTAGTCTCGCCATCAGCTCCTACCGTTGTTTTCCCTTCCTCGGGCCCCGAGGCACCTACCATCTGGACGCAGGGCGAGTGTTCGACGCATGCTGGCGCTGCCGCATTACCTCGTGTCGCTGCCGCATCAACTCCTGCCGCTGCCGCATCAACTCCTGACGCTGCCGCATCAACTCCTGACGCTGCCGCATCAACTCCTGACGCTGCCGCATCAACTCCTGACGCTGCCGCATCAACTCCTGCCGCTCCCGAACCCACACGGAACCGTCATCCTGTCGCTGTCGCATCGGACCCCGTCTCAAAAGGGGTATCAAAGTGACGTACCGCCAAACAAAGATCAACTGGGGTGCCAGTCAAGCTACGCCAACGTCTGGTGTGGGGAACTCCTCCCCGGAGGCCCGACAGCGTAAACAGAAGGGGAAAGCGGTTGAGGTTACCTCCGAAACAGAACTGCCCGACATAGCCGAGGAGAAATACCAGGATGCCTTATTTATGTTCAACAAACAGTGGTCTGACGACTATCCGTGGCTTGTTCTGTGTCAGACGAGTGCAGGATTCCCGCCAATCAAGTGCTCGGTCTGCATTGCGCACGGCGGTGTGGGCACGAACTTCGGCGCCAAAGGAGAAGGGGCGACCGATGTGCAGACCCAGGCAATGCGGAAGCATCAACGCACAAGGAAGCACCGCCGCGCTCTGCGCAGACAGAGGACAGCCGAGGCGGCGCTCAAAGCTAACCGCCGGATTGACGACAACAAGAAGGTGAAAGACGTCGAGAAGGAGCGCCTGCTCGCGCTATTTGAGACGGCACTCTTCATCGCTAAGTCCGACGCCCCGATCGAGATGTACGTCGACCTCGTCCAACATCTAGCGCAGCGTGGCACACCGGGCTTCCCAAAGAGCAGTTATGGTGCCTACTATACGACGTAAGTGACACTGCTCTAGTACATATCGTCGGGGGATGTGATATACGTGAAGCTATCACTAACCACACGCGTTGATGCCCGTGCAGGTACGGATTTGAAGAGATCACCGCCGCAATAGCGACATACCTTCGTGCGCGCCAGAGAGAATTCATTGATTCGAGTCCATTCATTGGTCTGAGCTGCGACGAGAGTACGGACCGCGTCAAAGGGAAGCACATGATTGTGTTTGTAACCTTTCTGCGTGAGCATGCCGTCACCACAGAGTTTCTGACTAACCTCTCCGTCGAGAAGTGTGATGCAGCATCTCTTTATGCTAAGATCACGGGATTCCTTGACAGTATTAGCCTGCCGCTGGAGAAGGTGGCGGGTATCAGCACCGATGGGGCACCTGTGATGATAGGCAACGACACGGGCCTCGTTGGGCGTCTTCGACTGGAGATCCCGCACGTGGTGGCTTCTCACTGCATCGCACACAGGTAAACTGTTGCTGTGGTGGTGTTGTTGCGGTATGAGATGTCCAACGTGGTATGTCGCGATGCGAATTCTAACACCCCCACCCGTGCATTTCTACCCGTGGCAGGGAAGCGCTTGCTGCAAAGGAGGCGGCTAAGGCACTACCCGAGCTTGGCATAATCGACGCGGTTATCCGCGCAGTGGCGGAAGATCTCGGCAGATCCAGCAACTCCAACCGCAAGTTCAAGGAGCTGCAGGAAGTGTTCACGCATACCAACCTCGAGGTCCAAGGGATCCACAGTGTCCGCTGGTTGAGTCGCGGTGATGCAATCGCACGATTCGTACGCGTTCTGCCTGCTGTCATCGTTATGCTCGAGGAGTCGGACAAGACGATGTACCACTTAGTAACGTCGTTCACGTTTCATTACTTCCTGTTCTTCTTGGCAGATGTGCACACGGCACTCAACGCGCTCAACCTGCTATTCCAGAAGCGACAGGTGAGTTGTTGAGTTCCGTTTTGCAGTTCTCTTCTTCTACTTATCTTTTGTTTCGGTGTACCAATTCTCCCCCCACCAACAGGTCGACCTCACTGCAGTGCACTCCCAGGTGAGGCGGACCATCATCTACATGGAGCAGAGGTACCTGAACTGTGGCCAGCAGTTTGGCGGTGGGACCAGCGAGCTGCTGTCTGCTTTCCTCGCGCGGCACGCCTCGCCCGACTGCCGTGAAGTGACTGTGGAAGGGGTGGACAAGGAGGGTCAGCCCCGTGTACACAAGTTCCAGCTGCACGAGGAGGCAGTCAAGGGATACACCACCAGCAGCGGGGACATGCAAGGCTGCTACACCTGCTGCCGCTCATTCGCCCGCGAGCTGGTGTACAACCTCGAGCTGCGCTTGGGAGACCTGACGCGCTTGAACGGGGCGAAGCTCTTCATGCCCCGCTCGTGGCCGAGGGGCGTCGAGGCAAGAGACGCAGAGTGCAAGGAGCACCTGCACGGCCTCGTCCATCTGTTTCAGGCCAAGAACCGGGACACGATCTTGCCTGGTGAGCGAGAAATAGATCCCCACTGACCTGCGTGTATGCATTGCCGTTTCCGTGGTTGCGTTATTCCCATGTTGTGCGCTTGAATTTCTACCCTGGTTGTGCTCAACCCGTTTCGCAGGTGTCCAGAAGCGTGCGGCACGAGCGGAGCTGCGCACGTTCCTGCCAGTGCTCTCCACTGCCCCCAAGGAAGAGCAGCCCTTTCACGCAGGTTTGAAGGCCATCTTGCAGACCAACGACTGGCAGACCAGCTACCCCAACTTAGTCCGTCTGTGGGCTGCAGTCGCTGTTCTGCCTCTTAGCACAGTCGAGTGCGAGCGCGGGTTTTCCCGCCAGAATGTGATCAAGTCGTGGCGCCGGACGAGTCTCTGCAACGCCAAGCTGGGAGATTTGCTGGCAATGAGTCTGCTCGACTACGACATGGAGTGGGATAAGGTGCTGGACATCTGGCGGAGCACCAGGAAAAGGCGCCCCAGCAAGCGCAAGGAGCAAGCTGCGCCAGAGAAGGAGCGGGCCAAGGCCAAGTTTGTTAAGGGGAGTGGCCGCCGGGTGGTGGAGGAGGAGGACCTAGACGAGGGCATGTGTGGTTCTGCAGGCGATGGCAGTGAGAGTGATGACGATGCCAGTAGCAGTGGTGATGATGCGAGCGTTTCTTCTGATGAAGACATGACATGAGCTAGTTTGTTAGTGGTAGATTCAGCCAGCATGCGGTATTGGTGCTGCTGTTTGTCACAATGGTAACTTTGGACGCATCCATGCACTGTTGCATCAGCTCTGCTTTTTTGGTTTTTTTACACTGCAGGTTCAGTTTAGGAAAAAAATTTACACTGACAGTATCAGTATAAAGAAAACCACCAACGCTGATTTGGACACCTGGTTGGCAGGGGCACGCTGATCCATCAGCATACCCTCAAACCAATCTGAGGGCCTGTATCATTGCTATTCCATGATATCTCTTACCATTGAGCACTCATGGGTACGTTATGTTGTATTCAGTATGTATCTGTTTCTGTCTATAGTAGACACCCATCCAGGCCCTCACTGATTCGTTCTAATCACCCTGACCTGTGCCCTCATGTCAACACAAATGAAAATTTTAGAAAGTGTATAACACTTTTCTAAAAATGCGTATTGTGAAAGCGCAGCTGACTGTAGCGCAGCAAGGCAACGTCGAATTACAATGCGGAGAGTACATAATGTGGGATGGAGGCCATTTGGCCTCCACCCACGTCTTCATTTCGGAACTTTGCAGTTCCACTCCCCACCCACCCACCCTAGTCGATTACTCGTATAATGTATAGTTGGACGAGAATGTTGTAATTACTGCAATTGTAATGAAGCACGTTGCCCAATTGTAATGAAGCACGTTGCCCAATTGTAATGAAGCACGTTGCCTTGCCAGAATAGAAAGCAAGCTTTCTCAATTCAAAAAATGTGTAGCTAGCAGGGCATTTGCAACCTTCACCAGGGCTTCAGATTCGTTTTGGGCCACCCTTAGTAATCAAGGTTCTAGGTATAGTCAACCCTGATGCCTAGGGTAATTTTTTTGTTTCCCTGACAAATGCATGGTAAAAAAACTGTAAGTCTGCCATTAAAATTTCTGAGGTAGGCAAGTTCAGCACTTAGTGGCTCAGTTGGTTATGTTACAGCGCAGGTCTAAAGGGCCGCAGGTTCGAGTCTTTTGGGATCATTTTGCAGGGGCCCGCATAGTGTTTCGTCTCGCTACGGAGCATTCGGTCCCAGTATTACTGGGATTGTTTTCTGTACAGTCAGGGAAATAAGTTCCTTACGCTGTTTTTCAAAGGGTACAAAAAAACTTACACTTTCTGGCCTAGGGTTAAAAACCCACTACCCTGTCTATGAAAGGGTAACTGAAAAAAAGCGGCCGCCAGTCAGTGCAAAAAGGGTATTTTACCCTGATAACGAGAGCCCTGACCTTCACCCTATGTTCTTTGTGATTTTTTTGTTTTCTGTGACACATGGCCTCAGATTCGTTTTTGCCTAGGCTGAACAGGCAATGTTGCAGCTAAAAAAAGCTGAAAAAGCAGTGTCCTGTTTTAAAAAAAGGCTGACTAATCAGCCTCACTTAAAAACTACCGTAAGGCTGAACAAAGCTAGAGTCCATTTTCAATTAAGTGCTGTGGGTGAGGTGGGGGTGCTTGATTTGGGGGCACGCGGTGCTTTGCTGTGCGTTGTTCTGCTGCAGAACTTCTGCACCGAATCGTCGCGTTGGGAAAATTCGATTTCCCACTGCAACAGCGCTGCATATGGCTATTTCGGCATGACTCACGGGGGATGTACCTAGACAGCCGAAACTCACGGCTCCTACACGAATCAGAAATAGCGCGATTTCAGCCTACACCCTCGTTAGTACGCTGAGCAATCAGTGTACACTTGGAAAAAATGTTCTGAAATATCAGCTCATACACTAAAAAAAAAAGCTGAAATATCAGCCCATACATTCTCCCCATGTCTAAAAACTCAGCCTTCCGACCCTAAATCAGCCTTTTTTCGCTGACATCTGAGGCCCTGCCGTGACACCTGAAATTTGGGTGGCTAGTTGAAGTTATTTTATTTGACCGAACCCAGGTACACCGGACCCGGCCCAACCGAAACAAAAAAGAGGCCGCCAGACGGGGCTAATCGACTCTAGGCCTCGCAAGCAACCAAACCAGGCCTGAGCACGGAAGATCAGAATACACGACGAGGCCATACCACGCAAGACAGACCCGGCCAAACAAGGACATACGGTAACAGATAAACTTAGAGTAAGCCTCACCAGACCACAGCAGGGCAGACTAGGCAAGAGCCAAGTGAAGTGACGGCCAGGATAGGATAAGGAGCCTTTGAGATAAGAAGGCGGAAGTTTCAGTTGGACCTTATCGTACCGTGTCACCCCGGATGTAGGCGCGAGCCTATGATAAGCGCATGCGCTTCTATCCAGAGCATTGCGATTATATCCGGTTATCAATTATTAGCAAAACCCCCCAAAATGTGATATATTATAACCGCATGTTGACACACAGTAACGAATTTCACCTTGACGGGCTGGTGAGTTTCCTTTCCCTTCACTCTTGGCTCACTTGCTGTGCGTCCAGTCAACATGTGCTGTCACATTACCTTTCTGTGTTTGCAAGGAAAAAAAACCTGCCAAGCTGCGCGGGATTCTATTTGTGACCCCAGGTAATTTCGACACGATTCAATTCTCCAAGACGAGATATATAGATTGGTGTTTTAATACTGAAATTTCATACAGGAACGCCATTTAATTAGCGCATGCACTTATCTGTTTTACTCGATTAGGAGTGCACGCCCCAAGCAAATGTGACATATTATAGACGAAGGTGCGGTGGTAGGAACTCAAGAAAATGTGGTATATTATAAACGAAGGTGCTCCGGAGCATGCTGTCACATGAGAGACGGGACAGGATGTAAGAGCACGTTGTCCGTTCTGTCCTAAATTATCTTACCTCTTATATCTTTCATACTCATCACCACCCTATAGATCAGAGGACGGAAGGTCAACGATCCCTGCTGTCCAAACTCGAGAGCCAATGCGACGATTGCTCCGTCGAATTCACCATGTCGTCGCTGAGAACGCTTGCGCCCAAGCAAGGGAGAATTGGAGGCTAAAATATATTATTTCGGTACTGGTAAACTTGGGAAATCAACTCAGGAGCCTCGAAAAGGGTCTAGCCGTATCGGGACAACCATGGCAAGTCGTTTGTCTAGATTATATTACTGGAATGCCATCGACCACATGAGGGCATGATGCTATACTCGAGGTGATCGACAAATACTCTAAAATGGGACACTTTATCCCGACAAACGCCACGGCTACAGCTGAAGCAACTAGTCGCCTCTTCTTTGACTGTGTCGTCGCCATCTACTGCATCCCTGCTATACTCATATCAGACAAAAACCCAAAGTTGATGAGTAAGTTCTTGAAGGAACTCATGGGTTTGTTGGGGACAAGACCCCAGGCAGATGGACAGGCAAATTGATTCAATAAGGTGGTTGCACAATTACTGCGTACCGCATGCAGGACGACATCAGACGGTAGGAACTATAGTTACCGACCCTGAGATTCACTTATAACAACGGATCACATGTGGCCATAAATAACTCCTTTCTTCCTATGCTACGGGCATGGACCAATCACACAGCAGCAGCCAACCACACTGGCACACATCCAAGCCGCACATAATTTTTTCACCACCATGAAGCAGCTATGGGAGAGTACTCAGCGACGTCTCACCGCAATGCAGAACTCCCAGAAGCAGTATGACGATCGACAGCGACGAGATCACTCGGTAGCAGTCAGAGATTTAGTGCTTCTCAACATACGCAACTTGCCTCATCTACCGTCCAAGCTTCAGCCTCGCTTCTGTGGTCCTTTTAGCGTTGCGGCAATGGTGACACCAGTAACATTTCGCCTGCGCTTACCGACTACGTGAAAGCTTCGGAACGCTTTCCATGTTCAGAAACTGAAACCCTACAAGGACCCCAACCAACAGTTCCAGGGGCGACAGCTACCGCTACCACCACTTGTTCTCGTACAGAATGAACCGAAGTACGTGGTGGAACGTGTCTTTGCTCATCGACATAGACGCGGCAACACGCTCGAGTTCCCGATACGCTAGAAGGGATATGACTCACGAAAGGACAGTTGGGTTGTAGAAGCTGATATGGGCAACGCACACCGTGCTCTCAATGATTATCTTCTCAAGCAAGGTGTTTTCCACACCACCCGGCTTTCAAGGGGGGACGTGTGAGCGTTCAACGGCTACGCTTACCCATATTGACTATATCTTGCTTAATTCTTGTTGATTTATACTTCCCTATGCTTGTGAATGCTTATTTTCCTAGAATCATTGCTTTACTATAGTTATTATAGTTATAGCATCGATTTAGGTTACGTGCACCGAAATCTGTAAAATTTTGGTTTTTTTTGCGTGACTTTGCGTGTGCGTGATTTCGACCGAATTTCTTCGACCGAAATCGTGAAGGTTCCGTTCCCGACGGTTCCCGATGCATGGAACATTCTCGTAATGCCTGGATCGGCAGCCTTGTATCGTGCCTATATATAGCCACGTGGTTGTACCCATTATTGTTCATTACATTATGAACTCGATCGATCCTTCGATCCTCACAAAACCAACGACAAGTTTTCTACCTGACACATGCGCAATATGACTGACAGTGCAACTATCCACCTGCAACTACTTGGTAGGTGCGCATATGTGCGCACATGCTCACCTGCGACTGCAACGCTGGCAGGCCGACAAGCTGCAACGTTGGCACATCGCCCATCGGCTACGCTGACAGTTCGCCTTGTTGCAGAGTTGGCGAGTCGCTTTGGTGCTGGTTGCTAGGTGTTGCAATGCCCTTCGTTCTATGTATTGCATGCTGTCAGAACATATATATATAGCTTATGCTGTTGTGTAGGCTATAGTGGGGTATCCCATAGGGGGTACAACACAATTAGGGTTTCCTATATGTACTCACTTCATTCATAGTTCATTCATTCTCGTTCTCATTCTCACATGGAATCAGAGCAGGTCCCCTCCTAGGGACTGTTCCTTGGGCCCACCGAAACGCGCCTCGAGTCGCGCCTGCCCTTTTTTTTTAGCGGCCCGTCGAGTCGCACCTAGCGGCCCGTAGTGCCGCCCTTA